TCTATTCTTGTTTTCGATTTCCCGCTTTTTAATTTTATTGATTTCTGTTATTATTTTCATTTTGTTCGTGCCACCTTTCAAATCATCCGTCGACTGCATTGCTACAGGCCAGCTGGCCAGTTTTTAGCAGATGATACATTTGTAACTGAAACTTGAAGCACTTTACACAACTGACAATAATAATAGGAATGATATGTCAAATGTGTCATTGCTTGTAATGTCATGAAGCGGCGTGCAGAGGGGCGCAAAGCGTGACGTCACCAGTAGAAGATAGAGGGGGGGGGGGGGGGTGGGGTTGTTGTTGGTAGTGGTGGCCCGGCCGCCCCGCCCCGCCATGCCACAGCCGGGCGCCCCCTTCCCCCTCCCTTCTACCTCTCTCCCGCCCGGCACGGCCGGCACTCGGCTGGTAGCGCAGCTCTGAACTCTGAACTCGGCCCGGTCCGGCTCGACGGCCGGCCCGAACGCCCCGCCGTGCCACATCCGGGCGCTTCCTCCCCCCTCCCTTCTACCTTTCTCCCGCCCGGCACCAGAGCCCTGCACCGAGCGAGCATCGGATGCCTACATGGCGTCCGAAAGCGAATCGGAGTGAGAGGGAGCTATGGCCCGGCGCGAGCTTCTCGCTTCCACAACCGCTTTCGGACGCCATGTAGGCATCCGATGCTCGCTCGGTGCAGGGCTGTGCCCGGCACGGCTCGGCCGGCACTCGGCTGGAAGCCCAGCTGTGAACTCTGAACCCGGCCCGGTCCGGCTCGACGGCCGGCCCGGACGCTATCATATCATGCTATTCCAAACACTGAAGGAGAATAAAACGCCAATGGAAAACTTGTGTGATATAAATAGCGGTATGGATAGCAACAAAATTCTGTAAATGTGGGTGTTAGATCTTTGAAACCTCCACATCCTGTACTGAAATAATATAATCCAAGGCTTGATCATTACATACGTATCATCTGCTTCCACAATGCGTGTTTTGACGGAACTTTTTAGACAGTCCCTTGTGGTCTGTCTCTACCCGAAGGTAAAAGTTTTCCGTTTTGATAAATATTGCCGGTTCTCGTTATACAGTATTGATAAAGATTGCCGATTGACGTTCCAGTTCCAGTTTTTATAAGCCGATTGCCGTTGATAAAGATCTGTCTTCCTATAATATTATGCTGTGGGGGAAGGCTTTCCGTCCTACTGACTGCATGGTGCATGGTTGTCCGTGCCAAGCCCGGTGGCAGTCCCCTGTCATCGCTCTGCTGGACTTGTAAACATTTACAGCATTTGCTTCGCGCCGCGCCCCGCGCCGGGCCGGGTCATAATGAGCCGGCAGACCCCCACTTCAACCTCTTGAGGAACGCAGGGCAGCTCCTCGCGCCCCGCGCCCCAACCCCTACCCTCTCAGAGCTCAATCGGCACCACACCCAGAAAACCGTTTCTTTGATCCAAAGAAATTACTGTTGATTCAACGAAAAAAATTCGTTTGCCAAACTGACGAAAATTTCTTTGGCATAACATGCAACGAAAATTTCATCAGGATGTTAACGAGTTTTTCATTAACATCGAAGTATTTTCTTTCACCCAACGAAAGTTACTCCGAAGATCCTTTGGTATACTGAAGAAAATTTCGTTCCCAAACTCTCGTTTAAAGTGAAGTCAAATTTCATTGAGGCCAACTAAAATTACCTAGCGCAGACGAGGTGACAAGATATCGTTGTCGTAAAGAAATTTCATTGAGTTTCAGTACGAAATTTTCGTTGCCCAGCACCTGTGCGAAGAAATTACTGAACTGACGATGTCAATCTGCTGACCTTCCCTCCCCGCTTCCCAAAATGATGAGTACGCTCCTCTGAGGTAACAATGGTTAAAGGAGTTAACGAAAACTGAAAAAAACAGGGGTGGATCCAGAGAGCATGGGAAGGGGGTCTTTTCCACCCCCGTCTCCTTCACACATGGAGTCGCAGACGCATACACTGTGTGGCGTATGGGGATACTCGGGGGCAGGCGACAGCGCGGTGACGCGCAGGTTCCAAGGGGTAGGTCCCCCTCAGAGAAGGTGCTCCTCACCCCACTCCTCGGTAACGCCTCAGCCAACCCATTTCTGGGACAGAAGCGGCAAAGACATGTAGGCGCCTGCGAAGCGGGAGATAGGCAACCAACCACGAGTAGCATGTGTTGGTTGGGTTGCCTATGTCCCAGGCTCTACGTCTTGGAAGTTAGGCTATGCACGGTTGGGAGTTTGGTTTAGTAAAGATACTTGCCGAGTGACATATTTGCCACGCCTTCCACATACGAGTTCATTTAAAAAAACATAACCAAATGATTGTTTGAATTGAATATTTATTGTTTACCTCTTTTGATATCTTAGAAAAATATCCAAATTCACAGTGAAGAGGAGATACACAACAGATACCTTATACCATATACAGAAGTATTTGAGCTATATGTCAAAAAAAACATCGGTAAAGGGAAAGCAGAAGAAAAACATCAATAGAAAAATAGGAAGAAAATCATAAAATCTAGCGCAATCCACTTATCACATTTAGCATGCATACAACTCTGACCTGGAGCCATACCAAGACAATACGATAGAAAAAGTGTACATTTGAGACGATAACAGCTACTGAACAGAATAGCGAAGGAAAACAAAACGTTCACCCAGGTTACTAGTGCGCAACCACAAAGTTTGATAAGATACAAGAGTAGATGGGTGACAAACATAAATTTCCTCTGTTTCACAAACACTGAAAGAATGGTAGTGATCACTAAAATTTAAAATTTCTAGAGCACTCAAAACAAACACTATCTGATTATTGCGATGTAGCAAAATACCAATAATTTTACGGAACTTAGGAAATAAATTGGTCACTTGATACACAACTACGTGATCAATCTCAAAATTGGTCCCTTTAAAATCAATCCATTTAAATGTTGTAACTCTCTCATCCTCATCAAAATCTATTGTCAAAAAAGGCATGTAGAGGTGTTTTATACGCTCTTGATATCAGAAACCAGACGTGACAGGCCAAAACCGGGGACATATTTGGAATCCTCATAAAATTTCACGTGGTGTGGGCTGTATGTACTAAATTGACTCTAGAGTTAGTAGACCGAGCAACCTGAACGCTCTCACGGTTTTTACTCTCAAACCTCTTTGTAGAAGTATGAATCGGGGGTCCAAAAAGAAGCACATACCTTTGATAATGAAGCAGCATATGATGGATGGGCTTAAGACCCTCACCAAATGTGGCAATGTACATTTCGTGATGTTCATTAACTAAAGTTCTTTAAAGCATTTCTGCCTCAATGCGAAATGAAGGTGCTAAAACCATCTGTAACAATTCCAATAAGCATAAATAGTACAACCACACTTCTTCATTGCCAGGAATAAAGTCCCCTATCATCTGGCCAAGATTCTGAGTCAAACACAATGATTCAGAACATGACAGCAAAAATTTGGAACAAGAAATTATTCTGTCCAAATACAACTTGGAAGCAGGGGGCTTATTGCCAATCTCTGCTGGCCCATAATTAAAGGTTCGAACTCTATCCAGGAACGTCTCATAACTTAAGTATTTTCTAATATGGATGAGCCAAAATAATATCCGGGGTAAGGCATAAGCACATAGACCCTCTTCGACATCATGTAGAACGTCTCCAGCTATGTTAACTGTTGCATGAAAAGCCTGCAAAGCATTAAAAGCACAATCTTCTTTAAGACCAGTAAGGCGATAATTATCAACAGCAAAGGTCATTCCTATAATTGTCAGGAGTGCGTAATAAAGCAGGGTCCTCCTGAACGATAAATTTGAGGTTCCTCTTGAAAACTTTACGAATACGGCAACAAAAGTTAGCTGTGAAGCATTCAACAAAGCCTAGAATGCCGTTCAAGCCCAGATTGTCACCAAGAATGAGACCCAGTAAAAAGTAAATTCTAACAGTCCTATCAGGAAGTTCAATTAGAATACCATTTTCTTCCAGATCTTTCAGTTGTTGAATGACGCACTTTACACTGGCAGGAACACCATAATCTTTACGGTCAAATCAAATCAAATCTTGTCTGTTCTATGCACTTATATTTATTTCTATCAAAATGTTATAAAAAAAAAAAAAAAAAAACTGTGCCGGTCACGCCAAATTCTATAAAATTGTTATAGTCCATAACAGAGCTTGCTCTTCGGACACCCTTTGTTGCCAAATAAAAATAAAAAAAATAAAATTGGTATGAAAGACAGCAGCAATAAAAATGTACCGAAGTAATGACAAAAACTCAGAAGGAATACATGGAATTTTGTAATACAATCCATTTGTCTTCTCATCAAGCGCATGTGAACCTAAACCATTATTCGGTTCATAATCATCTAAATAGAAAAACAGCGGGATTACTATTTTTCCCTCAGCAACGAAGGGTTCTGACAGATGCTTCCGAAGTGATCCCTGTATAAAATTAGATATAACATTATTCTCCTCTGACAAATTAGCAATGTTTAGCATTATTTTATCTAAGACATCAGGCAATTCAAGAAAAGACTGCAAACTGCGACTCATAGAAATAAATTGACCATAAGATGGAACCACCTGAGGTATCATTATACTATTAACTCTTACTTCTTTTAAGGAGCTACCAATTAAATACTCAGTAGAACCAATGTAAGCTCCAGCATTTTTCAAAGCAGTAATTCGCTGTGCTTCATTAGCAATTTCAGCAAATGGATTTTCTAGAACTCTGAACATAGCTTCAATATCATTTATCTCTGCATCATTGTCATTTGCATTGGCTAAAGTGTGCAAAACCTTTGTTTTCAACATATTGACAAAACCACCCTCGGAAAAAAGTTAAATTTAAAATAAATTTATACTAAGTTTGCGGTAAATTTAGGCTAAATTTAGTATACATTTAGGATACAAACACTATAAATTTAGCTAAATTTACCTAAATTTAGTTAAATTTATATAAATTTAGGGAAATTTATTCTAAATTTAATTAAATTTCATTAAATTTCGGTAAATTTATCATAAATTTATTCTAAATTTACTTAAATTTAAAGATGACTCAAAGTTGTGTAGGTTCCCGTTTAAAAAAAATTACCCCAAGAAGTTGCCGAAATCAGCCCGAAAGAGCCCCGGAGGCCACGGGCAGGCCCGCACTTTGTCCGCAGCCATGCCGGACTGTCCCAAATTCAGTCCGTCGCGTCTCCGGGTCACCCCGTGATCAGCCCGGCCCTGGGTGTCGGGGAAACCGAAATCTGCCCGGGGACCCCCCGGCGCGGCGTCCGGGCAACCCCAGAATCAGCCCCATGTGCCGGAAACCCCGAAACCTCCCGGTTTAAACCCGTCGCGGACAGGTCGGTGGTTGTCTGATGGATAGGAACATTTTACGCCAAGATTGATAAAACTTATATACTTTGAAGTTATGCAGCCAAGACCATAGGCAGGAGAGACTTGTGCTCCAGAGACACATCCTTCCCGCCAGGTCAGTAGGGCTACCTTATACATTATTCTCCAAAGTAAACGAGGAAATGTGTCGGTGGCATGACCCTCCCCTTGTGAAAACGAACTCATCCGAAAATGTATCCGGGTTTGTACCGTAAAGAGTCCGAGACCCTCTGAGGCCTCGGACTTGTTCCGAAATCAGTCCGATCGCTGTCGGACTTGCTCCAGAAAAGATCCGGAGCCCGACAGACCCGGACTGTCCGATTTTTGCCCGACAAAGTCGGACAGTCCGATTGGCGCCCGAGAGCTCCCGTCGGACTGTCCGATTTCCGCCCGATGCGTCGGACTTGTCCGGGTAAAGCTCGACAGGGCGTCCCTCACGCGGTTCGGACTAGTCCGATTTTAGCCCGATACATGTCAGCACCCTTATGACTGGGCGTGCTGCCGGCCGAGGCGCACTGTTCAAGAATATTTATCACAGAAATAGAGTGAATTAAGTATAAACTTGAGCTTTGAAGTGCTAAATACTTTACGTGCTCACGTGCCATTCTTTTACATTTGATATGGCCTTTTAGGCGTTTTCAAGTCCATGGCACAAATTTAAACAAAATAGGGAAACTTTTGTTTTTTGTCTCAAATAATTTGAGGTCGTCTTAGATTTGGTAATTTCTATCGGCCGCCGCGAAAAATGGTAATTAAACCGAACATTTAAGACATTCGGGGCCGCCCGGGAAAAGGGACTCATGAAGGTAGAACGGCACGGTGTGTGTTTGCAATAAATTAGAATAGGAGAAATAATGCACTAGTGAGCACAACGAAATGACCCTAAATGTATGTGAAGTAACGCCATCAGCCGACGGTCGAAAACCGCGTCATTCTACGTGGAACCGTTCGTCTGTAGGAGTGCAAGGACTGCGTCGACTGAGTCTCGAGTAAAGAGGCTTGTCGGACCAGCCCTCCCTCATGTTTCAGGTTAGCTCAGCGGTCTAAGGCGTCGACTTCACACCAAAAGAATCCGAGGATCCAAGGAACGAGTCCCAGCCCCCGCCGATACAAGCAGCGCAGTGTGTCTCCCCAGCATTGTAACGCAGATACACCCCATAATTTTGAGGGGGACCTCCCCTCTGACCGGGCGCCAATCGGACAGTCCGACAAGAGGTACCGGGCGTCAATCGGACAGTCCGACGGGAGGTCTCGGGCGCCAATCGGACTGTCCGATTCGGACTGAAGTCGGACTGCTCCGTTTAATATCCGAATTTCAAACGTTTCAGAACATAAACGGAGCCATCCGAAACAGTCCGAAACACATTAGTCGGAGTAAAAACGGAGCAAGTCCGCTTCGGATGTCTTTCGGAGCTGTTCGTTTCCACAAGGGTCATTGACGGGTTGGTCTAAGGCCCTCAGGGACACGGCCAAGGACATCTGGGACGGGACGGCGCCGATGGGATAGGCAACCTATTCGCCAGAGGTGATACGCCAGGTTGCCTATGTGCACCGACGGCAGGGGCTTCGCGCGTGGAGGAGAACGGAAGAACTGACCGCCGCGATAAGGCGCCAAGTTAGACCCTTTCCAACAAGCCGAAGCGGCGAAGCGCCACCTAGTGTTTTCGATCGGGCGGGTTAGCCTCTGCGCGCCTTGCCTGGCCGCGCTGTGCGCCTCGCCCGACCCGACCCGACCCGGCCCGGGTATCACATTGTCACACAGCCCGGCCCGGGTATGTCGGGCGAGCCGGGCGAGATCTCGCCCGGCAGAGGCAGCGCTGCTAGGCTGCGCGCGCGCGCCTGAACGTAGGCAGAGAAGTCCGAGACGCGCTGAGTATTCGGGGGAGTCAGTAGTGTTGCCTATCTGTTGGCGCCATATAGTTTTCTACAGTTTTTGTTGTTTCGTGTAGGTGTTGAGCGCGATGGGCGTGACCAGCAACAACAAGGTGTATAAAAGACAACGTTAGGAATTACTTATTTTATTTTCTGTTCATCATCTTATTTCTAAGATAACTATTCAAGAAGAGTATATTATCAATAGTTTTAGGTGACAAGCGGTTTCTGCGGGCCTGAATGAGAAAACCTGCTCGGCTGAACCCACGTTCGCTACCTGCACTGGTAGCAGGTTTCCCCAGTTCCTGGTGCGCTAACTTAGCAAGTTTGGGATAGCGCCCTGTGACGGGATGTGCCTGGAAAAAGAGGAACGAAATATAAGGATAAATTCTCACAAATTCTTACAAAAATACTTGCATTTCCTCTGCGGAAAACTTACCTCTGCCTTCCACTATGGGAACACATCTTCGATGTCCACGTCGGGCGCATCCTGTAAGTAGGCGGAAACCTCGTCCGGTTTAGTGGCGGTACCGGACACCTTCCACTTTTGGAAATTTGCCCCAATGCGCCGCAGACGTTTGCGGGGTGGCTGTGGATCTGGCTCTGGCTCTTGCTGGTGGTCAGGCTCATCCTCCGCGGCCGCGGTAGCTTCCTGCCCGTTAATTTTTGTCCTGACGTTATCAAAAATCTGAAAAGGCGGAAATTATTTTACCAACATTAAAGGGGGTGGGGAACCTTGTCAGAATACTTCGATAGAAAATATTTACCTTTTTCCGCTCATCTTCATCTTCGATCATAACGAGGTGGCGGTACACAGGCACGAGGAAGGTTGCCACCTTCTGCTTGAGCGTTGGCTTGAGCGTGTCGCACAAGATTTTCAGCGCCCTTTTGCGCATGGCCTCCTGCGCGACGTTGTCCAGCAGCTGGGGCTGACAGTGCTCCTGCAGAGCAACTGACGTCGGGAGAACCAGCGGAAGTGTGGGGTAGTGGTTTGCTTTCAGTTCCGTCGTCTCATCCCGGAAAGGTTTGAGGAGCGCCACCAACCATTGCAAAAGTTCCAGCTTTATCCCCTTCAGCCGCTTCTGCTGTTTCACCCCGCGGAGCACTCTCATGATCTGGAAAAGCGCAATGTGAATTAGGGTACTGAGCCGGACCCGAAG